CCACAAACGTTCAGATTTAGACGAAATCCAGAAGTTCCATTATTTACGATCCTCACTCAGTGGCAGTGCATTACAGGTCATTAGTGCGTTAGAATTTACGTCTGCTAATTATGAACACGCTTGGTATTTATTAGAAAACAGATTCCATAACACTAGACTTTTGATACACAATCATTTAAAATCGTTATTCTCCATTCCTCCTTTGAAGCATGAATCCCACACACAAATTAGAAAATTAATAGATAACGTTTTAAGGAATTTACGTGCACTTAAAACTTTAAACGAACCCACCGATTCGTGGGACACGATAATTATTTATTTAATTGTTTCGAAATTAGATTTTTCTACCGAACGCGATTGGGAAAATCACAAAGGATCTATTTCAACAAACTTAGATAAGCGGTGGAAGTTGGAAGATTTGCTTTCCTTCCTTAAAAATAAGGCGGATATGTTAGATATGATAAACGCGAGTCATAATAAATCATTAAATAAACCCGCGAATGTTATAAACGAGAACAAACATTTTCCAAATAAAGTTAATACACAAACACACAGTTATGTAACGACAAACAATTTAAATTCGAAAAGCAAATCATCTAACTCCAATAACCATGTCTCTAATAAACGTATTTGTCCTTTGTGCGATGGGAATCACATTCTTTATACTTGCTTTAAATTTTTAAATATGACGGCTAGAGAGAGAATAAATTTTGTAGACAAGAAACGGTTATGTCACAATTGCTTGCGCGCCGGGCATTCATTTAAAGACTGTATGTTTGGTCCGTGTAAGCAGTGTCAAAGCAAACACAATACTTTACTCCATTTAAACGATACATTGGTGCATAGTGAACCGGTTATAACGTCACAAGACAACTCGTCTTCCACCGCGCTTCACTCTTATCATACGTTAGGAAGTGGTGATAATTATTCGATGCATTCGCAGGTATTGCAACCTGTTTTGTTGTGTACGGCGTTAGTGGAGATTATTGATGAGAATAAACGTATTCATACAGCCCGCGCGCTGTTAGACAACGGTAGTCAACACAGTTTTATATCGAATAAATTAAGAAAACTATTAAACGTGCCTTCTATACAGTCCGCTATTCGTATTACTGGCGTTTCACAATCGGTGACCCATTCGAACGAAACGTGCGAAATCATTATGCGTTCTAAGTTAAACGATTATAGTAAACGGGTTAAATGTTTTGTCTTGCAGCGTATAACATTCAGTTTACCCTCGACTAGCATAGATACCGATCTTATACGTATTCCTAATAATATACAACTAGCCGATCCCACTTATCATACACCCTCAGAAGTCGATTTATTGATAGGCGCGGATTTGTTTTGGGATATTTTAAACGAACAAAAAATTCGGTTAGCGAACGGCCCGTTCTTACAGAATTCAAAGTTGGGTTGGTTATTGGCGGGACCGTTGTATACGAATAATCATTTAAAAGGAAACAATGAGAGTTATTGCAATTTTCATCAAACTATAGACGAACAACTTAAACGATTTTGGGAAGTAGAGAATATAACAACCGTTGGTAATGTTCTTACACAGGATGAACGGGTGTGTGAGGAGTTATTTACTCAGACAACCAAACGTGACTCTGACGGTAGGTTTTCTGTACGTATACCATTGAAAGAGTTGCCTGAATCGTTAGGGGATTCTTATCATTTAGCAAAAAATAGGTTTCTCTCATTGGAACGTAAACTCGAACGCTCACCGGGGTATAAACGTATGTATTGTGACTTTATGAAAGAATATGAATCTTTAGGTCACATGAGTCGTATAAAAAATATCAATAAACCTAATTTCTTCTTGCCTCACCACGGTGTGTTTAAAGAAAGTAGCACAACTACCAAATTGCGAGTAGTCTTCAACGCTAGTGCAACCTCTACTTCGGGCAAGTCTTTGAATGATATTCAATTGCCGGGCCCAGCTCTTCAAAACGACATTTTTTCTATTCTTTTGCGTTTCCGGCAACATAAATTCGTAGCTTGTGCCGACGTGGAAAAGATGTTTCGTCAAGTATTGATTCAGCCAGACCAAAGAGCGTTGCAACTTATATTTTGGCGTGAAACTCCTGATATGCCTCTGGATATTTATCAACTTAATACAGTGACGTATGGTACCACATCAGCTCCTTATTTAAGTATGCGCTGTATACGTCAGCTCGCAGTAGACTGTAAGGATGAGGTTATATCGCGGCTAATATTAGAAGACTTTTTCGTTGACGACTTAATAATTAGTAATGATAATCAAAATCAGTTATTGGTTATTTGTGAGAAAATATCGAAAGTTTTAGAGTCTGGATGTTTTTCACTTCGTAAATGGACATTCAATACTGACGTCATTCGTAATAAGCCAGGTCATTTATTTGCAAGTGAGTACACGCAAAATAAAACGTTAGGCATAGGTTGGCATAATGATAGCGATGAACTGTACTACACAACTAAGGTTGATGATTATTGTAATATATCAAAATTAACTAAACGAGTAATGCTATCTATCATTTCACAAATATACGATCCATTAGGTTTGCTCTCTCCTGTAGTGATTTTATCAAAAATTTTATTGCAAAAATTGTGGCTTAGTAAACTCGAATGGGATGATCCAGTACCATCTGAAATTGCATCGGTATGGTTTAACTTTGTGAAGACCTTAAAGAGTTTAAGCGTATTAAAAATTCCACGTTACGTAGTGAGTGATTTTGCACAAAATATAGAAATTCATATCTTTTGTGATGCGTCACAGAATGCATATGGGGCATGTACTTATATACGTTCATATAATGACAATTCGGAAGTGGTCATGAAACTTTTATGTGCAAAAACCAAAGTTTCACCTATAAAGACATTAAGTATACCACGTTTGGAACTATGTGGTGCACTTATGGGTGCAAGACTTTATAATAAAATAATAAATTCATCTAGGTTGAAGTTCACTAGTGCCCATTTCTGGACTGACTCAACCATTGTTATTGGATGGTTGGGTATGTCACTTCAGTTACTTAAGCCATTTGTGCAAAATCGTGTCACTGAAATAAACGAATTGACAGGAAATTCCACCTGGTTACATGTACCGAGTAAAGAAAATCCCGCTGACCTGTTATCTAGGGGACTCGCACTAGATTCATTAATTAATTGTGACTTGTGGTGGAAGGGTCCGTCTTATTTACAATGTAATAATAACAATTTTTCTAATAGTTATTTATATAAACATTTAATTGATACAAATGATTTGCCGGAATTGAAATCTCAATCGTTAAACTTTGTTTCTGTTACTCAATGCGATGTAATTCAATTTGATAAATATTCGACATTCAATAAAATCAAACGCGTATGGGCCTATGTGTTGCGGTTTCTGTCTAACTTAAGAAAAAATAAGTGTGCAGATAAAGATCACCGAGCACCGACGTCCGTACGGCAAACCGGTTTCTTATCGGTGAGCGAGTTGAATGCATCATTGTACCTATTAGTTAGATGTGCACAACAACAATCGTTTCCCGAGTTGTATGATTGCTTAATAAATGAATTGCCAATAAAGACAAATTGTAAAGAATTTAATCGTGTCTCAGGTTTAAATGTGTTCTTAGATGAACAACAAATAATCCGAGTGGGTGGTAGGTTATGTAATTCCACTATTTTTGATTATAACAAAAAACATCCAATTTTAATATCTAGTAAGCATTTATTTTCAATGTTGTTGGTTAGATATGAGCACATACGCTTACTTCACGCCGGTCCACAGATTTTATTGTCTAGCTTACGCGAAGGTTGGTGGTTACTTGGTGCTAGAAATTTAATAAGAAAGATAACACATGAATGCGTTATTTGTAAACGAATGAGAGGTAAGACTTTAAACCCTGTTCGCGCCACTTGTAAAGTGACACTTTATCCCTTGGCATCGTCGTTGCCACCTATCCAGGAAAAGACGGCGTCTGTAGGGTTGCCTCCGTCAAGACGGCGACTGGTGTGTACAAACGACCAGTCGTTCGTCTATGTGTTTTACCTACTCAATAAAATTTCCCTGCCCCCCTGGCCTACTTTAGTTCATAGACTTGCTTATTTATTATTTATAATTTTTTTTTTTTTAACACCGCCTCTTTTGTTGTGTGTATTTGTAAAAAACCAATGGTTTTTTAGGCCGGGGGCAATGTTCGCGCCACTTGTAAAGTGACACTTTATTTATCTTACCCTCATATTTTCATATATTTTCTAATATCTATACCGCTGCACTAATACTGCTTGTCATTACGAAGCAGTCTGCGATCGACCCTCGTCCATCGTGGTATACACTACGCTTTACGAGTGTGGGACCTGACTCCTCCGCAAGGATACCAGAGTCCTATGAAGCTGCGTACTAACAGCTTCTAACCGCATCGTGATTACGTCGTTCACTAATTTAATATCGAAGGCCGCGAGTGAGAAAGACTAAAATTGGTAAAGTGCTTGCACTGTGGATTATCTGCTGGGACATCCTGCCAGGAGTGAAGCTGTGTGGAAGTGCCGTAATCGAGGTAATTGCATGTTTAATTAGTGCAGCGCTTAGGTGTTAAGTTACTTCTCACTTTTCTCTTTTCTTTTATACCAGCCTTATTCCTCCGCTAAGTTGGAACCGCGCTCGGCTATATTATTTAGCTGCCGCGGTGACATTTTTTGTGGTCCTTAGAGCCGCACGAATTCCCATTTCATAAAAAATAAAAAATAAAATAAAAATTCTGCCCATTTTATAATTTATCACAAGTAATTACGCTTAAAACTAACATATTTTCTGTATTCCACTCCTCTGGATTGTATAAATTAAGTAATTTATACGTATATCTCATAATTTCAATTTATTTATTTTTTTGGGCGGGTATTCTGTACTGCGCTCTGCGTACATTCTCGAAGAAGTTAGCCATCCGCCATATTATTCACCGCGTCCGAGTGCATGTTGCAGGCATTAACTTAGACTTTCCTATTCTTGTCTAAACTATTACGAGTTGGTGATAATGGCATCAAAAAAGAAAGAACAGGAAATATTTGAAGATGCTAAGGCTCTTGATACTTTACAAATAAAACGTTTAACATTAATTGGAAAACGAGATAACATATTTTCTCGTATGCAAGCACTTTATAATCACGCTTTAAACGCATTGACTAATGATACTGAGAAAGATTTGTTTTTATGTAGCATAATTTCACTAGAACGTCTGCGTTCCGAATTTAATGAAATTGTGGATAATTTAAATGTCACAGAATTAACTATTAATCCTGCCTATGTAGTTAATTACCAAAGCATTAGTGCATTCGATGATATGTACTGCCGCTGTAAGTTTGTGTATGATACAATTAAACCATCGGTTAAAAATGTGGAAACCGCAAATTTTAATGTTTTACCGCACCATAAATCTATTCGTTTACCAGAACTCGATTTGATGGGGTTTTGTGGGGACCCTATTAAGTGGCCAATATTTTACGAATCATTTAAACGGGCAATTCACGAAAATCCCGATCTCACTGATCACGACCGCGTGCAATATTTGATAAACAAATTGTCTGGTCGGGCGCTTTCGGTTTGTTCCGGAATAGTTCCGAACGGCGACAACTACCGTGCTATATGGCAGACGCTCATCGATAAGTATGACGACAAGCGCGCCTTGGCCGCAGCTTATTTAGATCAAATGTTTGAATTTAAATCTTTTAACAACGCAACTAGTAAAAATCTTGATATTTTCTTAGACAAGTTCTGTACGGCAGTATCAAGTTTAAAATCTCTTAAGCTTGATGACTTGTCCGATTTTATTTTGTTACAACTCGCATTAAAGAAAATTGATTCAAACACTGCACGGTCGTTCGAAATATTTAAGCGTGGTGCATCCATGCCTTTATACAACGATTTAATTAAATTCATCCGCGAACAAAGTAAAATATTGGAACGTACTACACCGGTTTCGAATTCTCGTAGTAATGATAACTACAAATCTTCTATAACTACAAAATCTACGCACTCTTTTGCTACGTCATACGTAACTAGTTGTCCGCTTTGTAAACAGATTGACCACTGTAATTTATATCGATGCCCCGCATATAGTAAACTTTCAATTGATGAAAAATTTGATTTTATAAAACAAAACAAGGGTTGCACTAATTGTTTAAGTGTTTCTCACAGCAACAACGCTTGTAATTCCAAATTTAATTGTCGTTTTTGCGGATGCAAACATCATTCTTTGTTATGCCGTAAAGTCCCGTTCCCGCGTGAAGGCCACCGCGCGCCTCCGAGCGCCGCGTCCAGTGCGAGCGCACTGCTTCCGCTTGATAATACCGTCACTCCTGCCCAGCGCACAAACGTTTGTTTATCAATGCAACAAAATGTGTCGTATCATAATATTCAACCGGTTTCTATGTCTATTGCCAACAATAATAACACTTGTTTACTCGGTACGGTGCAAGTCTATGCGACCGATTCTAACGGTCAGAGACATATTCTACGCGCATTAATCGATTCCGCATCACAAAGTAATTTCTTAAATTCTAAATGCTGTGCTAAATTAAATTTAAAACCGCGCAAAGTATCAAACATTATAGTCAAGGGGATAGGGTCCGCGACTAATACAATTAAAGGGGAAATATCAATTATTTTAAACTCGCGTTTTAATAATCATTCTATAGCAACGGATGCTTATGTGATCGACCGTATAACTGATAATCTACCTTCTTTGAAGGTTGACATGTCTCGCCTATCATACCTAAACTCTCTTCCTATGGCCGATGAAGGTTTTTGCTTGCCATCCGAGATTGATATTCTCATTGGTGCACCGCTTTTCGCTGATATTCTGTTATCAGGTCGCGTCGCTGGTCCGACTGGTACACCTACCGCTTTTGAAACCATTTTTGGTTATATTGTAATTGGGACCGCTCCCATTACTACCGCTCATAATGATGTTTTAGATTCCGCCTGTTTAGACTATTGTCACGCCGCCTCAACTAATTCTTGTCTATTAGACAGTACCGCTACTCACTCCTTCTGTTCAATAATAGAGCAACCGCGTTTGGACTCTGTTCTCCAAAAATTTTGGCAACTTGAGGAGGTGCATTGCACACCTACTTTAAGTCCAACCGCTTTAGAAAATGAGCAAATTTTCTTAAATACTTTCTCTCGCGATACTACGGGCCGCTATTCTGTAGCGTTACCTTTCTCCCGTAACCCCGCTACCGCTCTCGGTGATTCTTACACTACCGCACAAAAACGTTTTTTGTATCTAGAACGTAAACTAACCGCTTCTCCCCCATTGCGCATGGAATATGACGCTATTATTAGAGATTATATCCAAAAGGGATATATATCTCTTGTTCACGACGCTGAACCTCTTAGTGGATATCATATACCGCATCATGCTATTGCGAGATTGGATAAAACAACCACAAAATGGCGTATGGTCATGGACGCAAGTAGCAAGACATCTTCAGGCCTCTCTCTGAATGATGTCTTATATGTTGGTGACAATTTACAAAATGACCTCTTTATAATTTTATTAGATTTCCGCTTGTATAAAATCGCGTTTACCTCAGACATCAAACAGATGTATTTACAAATTTTGATCAACGAAGATGACCGGAACTATCAGAAATTTTTATATCGATTTGATCCCGCCTTACCGCTCGATTCTTATCAATTTAATCGGGTTTGTTTCGGCTTGCGTAGTAGCCCTTTTCTCGCTATGCGGGTATTGAGACAATTGTGCTTGGATGAGTGTGAACGTTTTTCAGCAACAGCCGTCGAGGTGATTGAGCGCAACACATACATGGATGACGTATGTTACTCTATGCCGTCACTATCCAGCGGCTTACAGCTCAGAGATGACCTCCGTGAGTTGCTCAAGGCCGGGGGCTTTGAGTTAGTTAAATGGACTAGCAACGCACCCGAGCTAATAGAATCTCTTCCAGTCACCGATCGTCACACCGCGAATATTCATCTTGAACACCCAGATACGATGTCACAATCAGACATTAAGATCTTAGGTCTACAATGGTCACCCGCTTGTGATGAATTTATGTTCACCGTGAACATTGAAGATCGTCCTGTCACCAAACGTAATATATTGTTATTAATTGCCCGACAATATGACGTTTTGGGATTAATAGCGCCAACCATCTTGTATGCAAAATTAATATTACAAAAACTGCATCTATTGAAACTCGCATGGGATGAGCAACCGCCTTCTGATATAATTCATATTTGGCAAAATTATACACGCGAATTACCCTATATACAACAATTACGCTTTCATCGCCATCTTGGTGTTTTTAATAATTCCTCCATAACGATAGTGGCTTTTTCTGACGCCAGTGAAAAGGCATTTGGCTGTGTTGTGTACATCCGAACACAGACTCATCCCAATTCACCACCAATTATTCGCTTAGTTTGTGCGAAATCAAAGGTCGCACCATTAAAAACAATTTCCATTGCGCGCCTAGAACTATGTGCGTGTCTACTTATGTCAAAATTAGTTCGACGTGTAGTTGACACCTATGAGAAACGTCATCCCATAGACCATGTATTTTGTTTCAGCGATTCTATGGTAGCCCTCCAATGGATATCCGCTTCACCACATAGGTTCAAAACCTTTGTGGCAACCCGCATAACTAAAATTGTAACCGCCATTCCCGCACATAATTTTTATCATGTCCCTGGGTCACAAAATCCCAGTGACTGTTTGTCACGCGGCTTAACTCCTGCTCAGTTACTGAACCACTCGCTGTGGTTCTCTGGACCCTCTTGGTTATCTCTCGATACCTCAGAGTGGCCTGTTAAGGTAGTGGATTCTCAAGCATCTGACGGCGACTTGCCCGAGTGTAAGAAAATAGTATCGCTTACTGCTACTCATGTAAACGATGAGAACACTAATCCGCTGTTACACATTGCTCCTCGCGTGTCTACATGGCTACGACTACTACGCACAGTAGTTTTAGTCTACCGCTTCATAAATAAATTACCGCGTATTAAATACTTTACCGCTGATGATCTTAATTACGCCGAAATACAAATTTTAAAAGCTTTGCAAACAACTTATTTCCCGGATGTCATAAATAATATCAAAAATAATCAGAGCTGTTCTCGCGTCATACAACGGCTCGTGCCATTCATAGATGCTGACGGACTAGTACGCGTTGGAGGTAGGCTCCGCAATGCGAGCCTATCGTATGATCAGCAACATCCAATTTTGTTGCCTCGTAAACATCGAATTGTTGAATTAATAATCTCTCATCATCACCGTCAAAATTGCCATACTGGTCCCGTTGCACTTATGTCTATTCTAAGGCAAAAGTATTGGATACTTTCTTGTAGAAATAATGTTCGCTCTATTATACATAGGTGCAATTATTGTTTTAAAATTAAACCAAAAGTAAATTTTCCTATAATGGCCGATATTCCTGGTTGTCGTGTGAATGAAGCAAAAGCTTTCAGCCATACTGCGATAGATTACGCTGGCCCCCTCTCTATTATCCCGTATAGAAAGCGCGGAGTTCGCCCAATAAAAGCATATTTATGCATATTTGTTTGTATGGTAGTACGGGCTGTACACGTAGAACTGACGACTAATCTAACCACTAGCTCTTTCTTATCAGCGTTCAAACGGTTTCTCGCACGCCGCGGTGCTGTATCCGTTATCTATACGGACAATGCTAAAACATTTATTGGGGGCAAAAATGCTTTATCAGATATTTACACCTTGGTCAATTCTAATGAATTTTACCAATCTATCTCAGATGAATTATCAGCGTACCGTATACAATGGAAGTTTAATCCGCCGCGAAGTCCGCATTTTGGAGGTCATTATGAAATATTTGTTAAGGCCTTCAAAACTCATCTTCATCGTGTTATCGGTACACAGCTGCTTACATACGAGGAGATGATAACTGTTCTGACACAAATTGAGTGTGTTATCAACTCTCGCCCGCTAACTTTATTGAGTGAGGATCCTTCGGAACCTGCTCCAATTACCCCGTCTATGTTTCTGATGTCTGCACCATTAAAATATTTTCCCGCAAGTAATATCAAGGAGGATGAGCCTCCTCATCTCCTTAAACGCTTTCAATTATTAGATCAAATGGTTAATTCATTCTCCAAACGTTGGAAATTGGAATACCTGCACTTATTACAATCTAGAGGAAAATGGAATACACCTGCAAATCCCATTACTATAGGAAGCATCGTTCTTATCATAACTGATAATATTCCCCCGCTCTCTTGGCCCCTTGGCATCGTCGTTGCCACCTATCCAGGAAAAGACGGCGTCTGTAGGGTTGCCTCCGTCAAGACGGCGACTGGTGTGTACAAACGACCAGTCGTTCGTCTATGTGTTTTACCTACTCAATAAAATTTCCCTGCCCCCCTGGCCTACTTTAGTTCATAGACTTGCTTATTTATTATTTATAATTTTTTTTTTTTTTTAACACCGCCTCTTTTGTTGTGTGTATTTGTAAAAAACCAATGGTTTTTTAGGCCGGGGGCAATGTTCGCGCCACTTGTAAAGTGACACTTTATTTATCTTACCCTCATATTTTCATATATTTTCTAATATCTATACCGCTGCACTAATACTGCTTGTCATTACGAAGCAGTCTGCGATCGACCCTCGTCCATCGTGGTATACACTACGCTTTACGAGTGTGGGACCTGACTCCTCCGCAAGGATACCAGAGTCCTATGAAGCTGCGTACTAACAGCTTCTAACCGCATCGTGATTACGTCGTTCACTAATTTAATATCGAAGGCCGCGAGTGAGAAAGACTAAAATTGGTAAAGTGCTTGCACTGTGGATTATCTGCTGGGACATCCTGCCAGGAGTGAAGCTGTGTGGAAGTGCCGTAATCGAGGTAATTGCATGTTTAATTAGTGCAGCGCTTAGGTGTTAAGTTACTTCTCACTTTTCTCTTTTCTTTTATACCAGCCTTATTCCTCCGCTAAGTTGGAACCGCGCTCGGCTATATTATTTAGCTGCCGCGGTGACACCCAATAATGGGAAACTTACCTTCTGAACGCTTGGAGCCTGGTTTTCCGTTTATAAGAACTGGTGTGGATTATGCTGGACCAATAATGATTTTAAATAGAAAAGGCAGAGGCGCTCGCTTGATTAAGGGCTATATATGTCTTTTTGTTTGCTTTCTTACACGGGCTGTTCATTTAGAACTTGTTACTAGTCTTTCCACTGAAGATTATATTTTAGCGCTTAAACGTTTTATGAGCAGACGGGGAAGACCGAGAACTATTTATTCCGATAATGGTAGAAATTTCGTAGGGGCCGCAAAAGAATTTTCTTCCTTTCTACATAATAATAATAGGGAAATTAGTGAGGTGGCAGCTAATGAAGGCATTAATTTTAATTTTATACCACCCTATTCACCCCATTTTGGAGGTCTGTGGGAGAGTGGGATAAGGTCTTGCAAATATCATCTTAAACGTATTGTAGGTAATTCGAATTTGACATACGAGGAGTTAAGCACTGTTTTGACACAAATAGAAGCTATTCTTAATTCCCGTCCGATGTCACCTTTATCCACTGATCCTACCGATTTTAATCCTCTCACTCCTGGTCATTTTCTCATAGGCCGACCGTTGACTGTTCCACCAGGCGAGACCATGGTCGACGAGAGGGCCTCAAGGATGAATCGCTATCTCCGCATCGAGCAATTGCGACAACATTTTTGGAGGAGGTGGTCCAGGGAATACATATCAGAGCTTCAACAGAGGACGAAATGGAAGTCACACCAAGACGACATTACGCTGGGCAGTCTAGTTCTAATTAAGGAAGACAACTTACCACCTCTGAAATGGCGACTTGGACGTGTGATTCACGTGTTCCCAGGTTCTGACGAAGTCTCACGCGTGGCTGACATCCTTACTGCGAATGGAACAATAAGGAGGGCATTCTCCAAAATATGCCCTTTACTCATCCAGCAACCAATGGACATGCAGCAGCCAGTAGACAACCAGCAACACCCAGTAGATGCTGAGCAGCCTAACGTATCGAGGTTGGAAGGTGAAGCTTCCAAGGCCGGGGGTATGTTGCCGCTCGACACCACTAGCGACATCTAGAGAACGGTGTTCGCGGCCCGGACGATTGATTTTTTAACAGCTGTTTCGAAATAAAAACGTTGACAATCGCGATCACCTTTCACTTTCAAACGGATAAGCATCGAAGCTACACGAAAATTACAAAATATAGAAATCGAATTACAAAGGAGTACCGAAGCCCCCGTTCCTGCACACGCACTATTAAATTGAGTTTGTGGACAAACACAGAGAAATTATTTAAACATCTAAACGTTGAATTTGAGTCAAATAACAAAATAAGCTGTTTTCCCTCGACTTCGCCCTAATCTTTGTAAGGACTGTATCAATATAAAATTATATACAGAGAACGATATAGTTATAAAATACGTATTAGGTAAGCCACTAGTGCTATAATGAGAAAAACAACTTAGAATTCGTGTATAATTTTTTTTTCTTTTACAACGCTTTCGTGTTGTTAAGTAAAGCGGTAAAAAGCGGATGTAGTCAGTAAATAGCTCGAGAAAAGAGGATTTGCACTTATAAAAACAACACAAACTTTTCATTCAATTGTTGGCTTGTGGTGCAATATTGCACTGTATTACATCGGACATAAGAATTAAGGGAAGTGCTACAGTTTATAGTGATACAGAAAAATGTTTGCTAAAAGTGGGAGTATATGTTCTAAAGTAAGTTGCATGACATGTAATACAGGATTGTGGCGTGTTAATTTTAAGTTATATAAAATAAATGTCGTCTAGCGACTAACTTTTCTAGAAAATTCTAATGTAATTACTACTGTAAGACTTTTTTATCTCTGGATGGTCCTGGATTTACGTTATAAGTAAGTATACTTATTATAAAAAATATTGTTACTGCAATAAAATACTACAATAATAAATAAATTATAATTTATTTATTTATTTTTCATGGAAAACCAACAGCTAAACAAACATGATAGATTTCAGCATAAAAAACATTAAGCCAATTATAGTATAATTATATTATTATATTATATAATTATAATATAATTATATTATTATAATATATAATTATTATATAATATAATCATATTATACTACAAATAAAGCTATAATATTTACTACACTTTTCCAAGATTTTTGTACGGTTATCCTACATTATTCTTGGAAAAGTGTGATAATATAAAACTTTCATGTGCATAATATGTGCAATGCATTACTAAGAAATGCGATTTTATAATATCCACTAGTTGTAGTGTATTTGTAGTCACTTGCTACCAAGTTTAGAATCTGGATAGAGTTCAGATTCAAGATTTTAACCAAAATGAACTACAACAAAAGGCTGTAGGTACAATCAGTACAGCAGGTTACAACACAAGGCTAAATTTATTCACCCGATTTTGAACTTAACCATCAAAAAAAGGCCTTACATTACATAAATGTATGTGCTGCCGAGTGTACATACAAGGTCATTTATTAAAAAAAATCCATTAAAATATTGCGATACTCAATGGCATGTATTAATTTTTACATAATCACATACAGGTATTAAAAGCCCATAAGTGTTATTGATATGTCGCAGTATTAACCCATTTCCATAATTTCGTAACGGCAAAAATTAAATCGCGCAAATCATTCTCATCCTTTTATCGCATGTAATAAAAGTGCATATTCTCTGTTCAATTTGAAAAAAGGGCCTCCAAAAATTCATTGTATTTAAAAATAACTTTTGCAATTTACGACCTCCGTATCCAAATGGTATCTTGTACTGGATTCAGGGTATCGCCGTCACTGAGGTTTGATTCCAGGTCGAGTCAGTGAAGAAAATTAAACATACTAAAACAATCACGGTCAAATACATCTAGTCTTTGTATAATTGTATTATTATTAGGAATTTATTATGAAAGTTTAAGGTTAATAAAAATATTGTTATATAAAAATGAATGGAGTGGATTTTTAAAGCATTTTTCATTAATGATATTAGGTCCTTACATATGAAATTAGCGTTTTATCGTACTAGCCACTTTAATCACAAATTTCTTCTCCTTGGTTGGGAATTCCAAATTCTAATTTATACAGCCATTTACACATGTATTTGTGTTTCGTTAGGCGGCATTCATTTGTTTTTTTTTTTTCTTCTGTTTGTCCTATTTACATCACCCAGTATAAAAAAAGGAAGTGCGTTTTTGGTTCCAACGTTTTCGTTCTGGAAATTTCGACTAGCGAAACAATAATGAAGAGTTGTAGGCTATTGTAGAAGCGGATCCATTGCAAACCACGTCCGAGTTATCTGCAGGCTGCGATGTTAGTGATAAAACTGTTTTAATCCACTCGAAGCAAACTGGAAGGTTTGAAAAACTTGAAAGGTGGGTACCTCATGAATTGAGTGAAACAAACCGGCAAACGCGCTTCGACTGCTGCTGTATTACATTACTTAACCGGCACAATAATGAAGGGTTTTTAAATCGAATCATTACCTGTGATGAAAAGTCGATTCTCTACGATAATCGGAAGCGCCCATCGCAATGGTTGGACCCTGGCATGCCATCCAAATCCTGCCCAAGCGAAAATTGACCCCAATAGAGTTACTTTTAAGCGTTTGGTGGACTAGTGCCGGTGTCGTTCAATACAGTTTTCTCAAATCTGTTAAACAACCGAGACTAGTCAATCGCTTTTTCAGTCTATATTTGTTTTGCAAAAAAGGGCAATAAGATCTATCTATCAGTTGGGCTCGCGAATGTCTCTTAGAGAGAAATTTAAAGAAATTGGAATATTGACGGTTGCATCTCAGTTTATATATAGTTGTATACTTTTTGTCCGGAACAATATTAATGTGTATACCAAACATAGTGATGTACACAAACTTAATACTAGAAATAAAAACAAGCTAGTAATGCCTTCTTACAGGTTACAGAAGGTATTAGGTTCTTTCATGGGTCAAGGTATACAATACTTTAATAAGATCCCCAGTGATGTATTAGATTTGCCAATAAATCATTTTAAAGTCATATTAAAAGTTGTCTACAAAGTAAAGGGTATTATACCGTTAAGGAATATCTAAATGACAAAAAGGCATGGTGTTAGATATTTTAACTTTATTGTATTTACTTTCTAATATTGTAATGGAAAGTGACTTCATATTCTAATAAAGTCACTTTTCAATAAGACTTCTCTGTGTGAAATAAAACAGCCCTTGCTGAGTTTCTTGCCGGTTCTTCTCAGTACAAGGTCTCCCGCCGTAGTTTTCGACTTTCACAAGTGCTCTGTAAAAGCCAGAACTGAATAAATAAATTTTGATTTGATTTGATTTGCTCTACGCCACTGCTACTTCTCGACAGCGCTAGACCACACAATGCACAATAGACGGTTACCAAATTAAAAGCTTCAATTGGAATGTCTAGACATCCACCGTACTTCCCGAACCTTGCTCCAACAGATTACCATTTTTTTCGAAATTTGGATAAATTTTCCCTTGCAAGAAGAGCAAGGGAATTACATTAGAAAATGTAGCAAATCTGCATGCCTTCATACATATAAACAACATATCATAAAAACAACATATAAATTTCCATGCAGTCGAGAGATACAAAATTATAGTATCTAAAGGAAAAGAACCTTCGCAATTTTTATATGTAGTACGTCCCGTGTTGAAAATCGCAGAATGATTTTTAATAATTCAAGCAATCTCAAGACGAGCATTAGGTACGATACACACTGCATCCGAACATGAAAAGCAAGAGCATGTTCTACAAACAAGTATACCGTCTCAGTTATAGAATTTAATTAGTGTGATTGATCACAACTGTTCCTAGAACTCACCTGACCTACCCGAGTATCAAATAGGTGGAAAACAAAGTGCTTAGAAGAGATAAATATTAAAATATGTACTCGCAGTATTTCCAATTCAAACTTTACTTAAAATTCTTGCGTCAAAACGCCATTTGTAATTTTAATTGGTAATGTATTATAACAATCATTGGTTTAACTTCACTATTCACAAATTTACAATCCCTTGGGAATTAATGAGAGATTTCTGCATATGATATAGTAATTTGAAGTAAGCAAATATAACATGTAACATTAGACCCAAAAGATGGGATACTATTACCACTTGCTTATTAATCGAGTAATGTTTCGAGGCCTAGTTGACGTACCCCGGTTTAACAACTAACGTCTGTCAAACTATACAGTAAAATTTCACACATGGATAGATTCAACTCTGCTTGACAGGCTTAACATCGGTATGTAACGTTAGTCATTTAAATATTTCGAGACCGTTGGAAATAAGACTCGAGAATTCCTCGTTGTTATATAAATTTTTAACGTCAACATAAAACGGAGGTCACTAAAGGATGATAATCCAAGAATATTTTGTAGTTTAATATGGATTTTTTTAATCGTTTCCGTTTGCGACTTTGTCTGAACGGACTTTGATCTTGTTTGTTATAATATATTTTATCAATAAAATGACCGTTTATTACATGATCATTATATATGTTTATACCGCTGAGAAACTTCATACACGCAATTGGAAACAAAGGGGTACTTTTAGATATAACTAAATTTTTTAGTCACACATCCTATTGTCCAGCCCTTGCGAAAGTTGAAAATCTTCCGTATCGTAGACTTACTACGTTAGCCACTACATGGTCACTACGCTATCGACCTCCTTAATCAATAAATATCACAGGCTTAATGACTACAAAAACAAAAGTTATATTACAAACTCATGTGTTACCCAGTGAGAGCTATTGGAGTTCTTATTTAATTTTCTGTTATGTAATAATTAGTTTGCTATAATTAATAGGCAATCTCCTGTGTTTATTTCATGTTATATCTAACTTCACATGCGTATTCACCAGTGTCCGCGGCAGAACAACATGGAATTTTGTAGATTATTTTTTGTACTTTATAGGTTAACGCTTGACTACGATCGGTGGTATAGCGCATTAATCTAGTAACAGCCTATTCACTCTTGATTTGAAGGCATTCACATTATAATGATTTAAATTTGTTATAATATTTAAAAGGACTCATTTCATTAGGATAAAAATCTTTTAATGATATTCTATTAAAATTCTGGTGATATTAATATTTTCTAAATTTCGTTTCGGTTTCTTACAAATCCGATAATAACTTTTAAATATTTAATATATTTACTTAAAATATATTAAATCTGGAAAATATTCGAAGCCATTTTAAGGTTTAATTAAAATATGGCTAATTCTCGTTTCAAAGAGCGTACAACATTTAGACATAAAGACATTTTAGACACAAACAATGATATTAAACAGTATAAAATACTTTTACCTCCATGTCTTTTACATGTTTGAATCCAATTATAGATATTCATTGTGGTCGAACCGCACAGAAAGCAGTGTTGCGCAAAACGTCCAGTGAAAATAACGATATATCGTTAACGTCATACGTGCTGTAAAATATCTCGTTATTTGCTTTTACGTAATCATTTTTCCGTGTACCTTCCACAACATATTTAACATTTTAATTGACGAATAGTCTGCCTGATGTTTAAATACGACGCAATGTTCGCCTAAAAACGACAAAGTATTTTGTTAATCGGTACATTGCTAAAGGGTTCCGAGTTTGCGTCGTACGTTATGTACGTGGAACTCATACATAATTGTCGGTGAATCCTTAAACAAACAAATACAGTGATTTTATGTACGTATCAAAAAGTACAGCCAAATACAAATACAGTACATAATTTCAACGATTTAAAATAAAAAAAGAATAACTGTGACGAGCTGTAACAATTGTAAATTAGTATAGATTATTTTAAAACGGGGTTATAGTGATTGATAATTTGAATTATTAAAAATACATTAATTTGTTAAATACATGTTTGTTGATTTTATTTACTCAGAAATAAAATCGCTACTAGAAAAATGATACCATGAATTTTCAGATTCGCTGCTCTCAACCAAGGTTAATTATGAAATCCGATTCTATGTCAAAAACTCTCGGTGAATAAAAAGACATTTTCGATAACAACTTTAGCCTTTCAAAAAAGCGATAAGAACACGTGTTACTCTTCTTCGTTTATTAATCTTACCTGCGCATTTCGTACAATTCTGCCAATGTCAAGAATAAAATAATTAAATATAAAAAAAAAAAAATTCTACATGTAAAATGAAATGAATGAAAGATAGCGATAATCATGACGTGTTACTTGGACAAGGCGGTTGAAGCGTCCGTTACTGTCACGAAAATGAAAGCAACCATTACAAGCTCACATAGGGTATGTTCCGATATACACTGCGAGCACTGCGCAGTGGTCTTACTGCTGAAAAATCCGTTCCGTTATGGACTGCCAGTATACTGCTACAGTACTGTAGGGAAATTTATGACGTCATAAATTGCCGCCATATTTGTACTGTGAGCACTGGAGATTTCGAGGTAAGGTGCTCGCAGTGCTTTTGATCACGTGATCAGTCGAAACAGAATCAGAAAATGACAAGTTTCTAAATAAACAAAAAAAAAATACTTACGTTTATTTATAAGATGGATTTAATTGATAAATAATTTTTTTATACAATTTTCCAATTATCTTTAAAAAAGAGGGAATCTTTATATTTATATTCACCTTGCATTAACAAAAATAGCGCCAAAAAATAGGACTAACAGTATACTGGACTGCGTTCCGTTTTAAAAAGTCACCAGTATAACTAGCTATAAAGGAACGGGCTTCCAGTATACTAAATTGACGTCATACTATTCAGTGGTCGCAGTGTATATCGGAACATACCCATAACATAGCGCCGTGCGCACAAATGATATGAACTATCTATTCTTCAATTGTTTTCATGTGGTAAAAGCGCAATACCACCGACACCGTCTCTGTTTGCACTAAAAATAATAACTTTTTATCGATGATCTCAATATTAATATGATGATTTCTGAATTATTATCTCAAGAGTAAAAAAATGTATATTGTATTGTGAACAGTGGCGTAGCGTGGGTGTCTGCCGCTCGGGACGGAAGACAAATTTGCTGTCCCTCTTAATTAGGTATTTCATATAATTATACTATACATTAATTTGAAAGAATTTGTCAGTAAAAACTGTTATCATTATTAGGCATTATATACGTTGGATTGGAATGAACGGTTGGGTTAGTGGCTTAGTTAACGCTATGGAACAGCCCAAGGATCGAGTGTTGTGGTTCGATCCCCACAAAGAACAATGTTTCGTTTGATTTACATATAATTGTTCTTAGTGTGGGTGTACTTTGTCCCTCGTAACACAGGACTTATATTCCTAAAAAGTGGGCTCGTCTTTAAAAAAACAAAAAGGATTTGAATTAAAAAAAAAGGAACTTAACAACTGAAGAACCATGAATAAAACTTTCTGTAAATTTTCGAAGTACCACGTACTTTCTTAAAGGGACGTAATAAACAATATTAATAGACTTCATTCTTGCTGATTATAAGTCATAAAAAACCAAAGCACAAAATAAAATACGGGGAATCCCCGTAAGTCACTATAGATGGTGTTGCCAGTCGCTACAAAATTACATTTAAAGAAAGAGTTCTACGAATTCATCACAAAAGTAATGAATAATTCCGTGCTCTTTTCATTCGGTCCGAATTTATAGTTGCGTTAAAAATATGAATTGGTTCAAATATTTAAAAAATATAATTTGTTTACTGTGAAATTTTGCCGCCCCCTAAAAAGTGCCGCCCGTGGCGCCCCCCTCTCCACTACGCTACGCCACTGATACTGAACACAGGTTTATGGTCGTAAGTGAGTCAATAATGTATTTTTATTAGTAAAACCGTTGTGTAAAGTGTTAAAAAAGTATTTACAATTGATTTATAACAAGGAATTCCTATATCTAATTGCAGACTAAATACTAGCATCATAATTTGCGTCAGTTTCATACATGGTTTAGGATCACCCAGATTAAGGAGATAGAGGATGAAAGTTACAAGTTTTTAGTTTTTTTTTTTTATTATCTGAGAACTAATACCATCTTACATAACAAATTTCGACGTTTTGACAATCATCAGTGTGAGAGTGTATAAGTACCGAAATCGGGGGTTTATCGATATCAATAAAATCTAAAGTATTATAGCTATGCAATTGCAACTTTGTATGTTTAATAAGTCAGTTACTGGAATTGCATCCTGAAAATTTAATGTATCTAGTGTAATAATAATCTTTATTGCACTCTAGACATTACAGAGAAACTAGAAAAAAGGGAGAGACTACAAAGGGCGACCTTGTTGCTACATAGCAATTTCTTCCAGGCAACCTGAGCCATGATGAAAGAAAAAAAAAAGAAAACATGAACTATATGATAACAAGAGGGGGGATACAAGATGGAGAAGTAAATTGATAAATATCTGCTGAAGTTATTAACTTTTACTCGACAATGGGGTGTTAGACTTATTTAATTAGTATCGTTAGAAATAATAATCACGAAAACAAGACTTACAGCCAGTTGCACAAACGTTCATTAAGATTTTCATTAGTTTAAAGCGACATTACGCATATAAATTTGATATTCATTAGAGGTTAAAGGCGTCATTAAACCTTAATGGACGTTTGTGCAACTAACCGTTAATTTGATAAAGCTTCTTTGTGACTCGGCGAGTATAATATGACCGTCGTTATGATATCAAAAAGGTCCGGTTTCAAAAAGT